TATGATATACCTGCACCAATCATTTCGGCAGCTCACACACTCCTCCCCACTGCAAGCTCTCAGCTATTGCTAGTGTCTTCACGATTTTCATGCAAATGGCTGAAGAAGCAGGCCGGGAGGACAAATGAGATCCAAAGCCTACCTCAAGGTGCCAGACTTCGAGGAGCCTGCTGAGTGTCGGCTCTGGGCCTGGTTCAATGCCTGCCGCTCTGAGGAAGTGGCACCCCACTTAATCCTCACAGGCCTCCTGAGAGGCAGGAGGTATTATTCCTGTAATCCTTGGACTCATCCCGCCCCCCAACAAAGGGCAACAACATCAGTCCTTCTCCATCCCTCAGGAACATTGTGGGGATGGATGAGGTAAATTCTACAGCACTGGGAGACATTAGAAAGCACAAGTCCAACCGATTATTCAGTCAGTCAACCGCAGGAATACCAGAGCTGCTTGTAGTCCACATGAGATAAACCCTAACTTATTATGATTCATTATCAATTGCCCGCTGGTGGTAACATACCTGATAGACTTGCAAATGCCACCCCCCCCCCACATCACAGTTCTTGTCCTCTAAAGAAATATGAAAAGTCACCATTACTTTTCATAAGGGGCCAGGTTTTGCCTGGCACTTCAGAGGACATTATTGAGTAAGTAACCCAAGGCCAAGGCTTGCCAAACCATGCACCATGGTGTGTGCCACGAATCGTTTATGGATGTCCCCGAAAGATAGGTCTGTTGGCTCTCCAGTGGCCAGTCAGGGCCCGAGGCAACCTCTTTTGTTCATTCATTCACATCAATGTTTCATACTCATATTGCCCCCAATGAGTAAGGACCACTGATTCCGAGCCCCAGCTTCACACCATACACCAGAACACGATATACTTATTATGTGTGTTATCATGTATAAATAAAACAGAATATGTATTCACACTCCCAGTGGGGTAGAATTTTGTTGATTTCCTTTGGCATTGTGAGCATATTTAAGGTAGCTTCTCACCAACCCAACGGTTGCATAAATTTTAGCAGAGTCAAACTCCAGACCTGACATCTTCAGCCTCCCACTGAGTCCTGCTTCTCTACCTGTGACCCATATCTGGGTGCACGGTAACCCCAGGTCACAGGTCACTCAAGCCGGAAACTGGTGTCATCTTGGGCCCCTCTTTGCCCCTCTGCCCCAGGCCCACCTCCAACCTAAGACAGTGCCGTCCTCTCTAGGCTATGGAAAACATCTCTCAAATCAAGCCACTTCCCTCCACCCTCTCTTGCGCTATGTTCTGGCACACATTTTAAAACCCACAAGGGAGTGGGCGTTCTGTGGGTGTGGTTTCTCTGTCAGCCCGTCTTTTGTCTGTGATTGAGAGCAGGAGTGTCTGAAGATGGCCAGTGATGAACGAAATTCACTGGTGGGGTCATGGGTACAAGCAGAGACCACACTGGCCCCCTCTGGTGAGATCTCAGTGCATTTCCTCACACTGGGGTCACAGAAAAACCAAGTCCCTCTTCATAATTGGTGTAGGGAGGCTGGGTCGGCCTGTTGTGGGGGTGACCCACAAGAGGGTGCTCTCCCTTGGGAAGGCTGAAAGGTTGAGCTGCCCACCCTGGGAAGCTGAGGGCTCCACACTGGGAGGTCCCAGTGAGATGTAGCTTTCCCCACACAGTAAGAAAACAGAAGGTTTATTGTGATTTGATGGGAACCCCTATGGGGTCCACTCACTTGTTCTACTGTTCCAGAAAGGCCCACCATTAGACTCCATCTTTGGCACGAGACCCGTGGTTTTCAGAGCATGCTCAGGAGCACCCCGAATTTCTGTAGAATTGCCCCAGGGCGCCATAGGGAGCAGCGGGTGAAGGGTACAGCAGATATAGTTCTTTTCCCCCTTGGGTTACCACCATAATTTTATTAATAGGAGTAATTCTGCAGTGGCGTGTGGTATGGGATGACATTGGACCCTGTCACCTAGGACCTCTGACTCCCTTAATGGGCAGCTTTGTTGGGTGTGGGACTGCAAGCACAGAATCTCCATCCCTAACAGGATGAGCTGTGACACACAGTAGGTCAGGACCCCATGGCTCCTAGCTGGGAACAGTGGTGCTTAGGCTGAACTGGTGTAATAGAAGGACCCTTGCCTCGGATTGACCAGGGACCAGATCCTGGCTCTGTCCCTTGCTGGTGATGCGACCTCAGAATAGAATTCACGCCACTCGCCCTGTTTTGGATGACTGGAGAATAAAAGAAACATTGTAATGCAGTGTTTCTGCATTACCCGTGTAATGCAGAAAGCCATGTAATGTTAGGCAGAGCTGAGGATGAATATTGCCATCTTCCTAAGGTCACCCAGGATTTACTGGGATATGGCACCAGAGAGAATGAGTGTAGAAGGGGCAAAATCAAACCAATGGAGAAACAAACACACTGATCTCTTGCTTGCTCTCACACTCCAATGGTCATCTGTTCACCATAAGAGCCAGGAGATTTGGCTGACCCCATACCCTCCACTGAGAAATAGTGTGCCTTCCTCACCTATATGGGCCATCCCCTTGGATGCACAGATTGTGACATGATGTAGTTGGGGGTGGAGGTGGGGATGTAAGCACAGGAGGAGAGCTCAGAACTTGGGCTCAGTCATATTTTCAGAAACAGAGATGGAAAACTGGTGACCCACTCCTTTCCCTACTGCTGACCTGCCTGACCCCTTTCTCCACGTAATTGTCCCCTGTGCTCTGACTCTTCACCTGACTCTTCAAGGGGCAACGGGGCCCCTCTTGAGATGCACAAGTTCGCTCATTCCCAGTCATGGCTGGCGGTAAGGGGAGGCATATTTAACACGTTTCAACAGATTCTGAGCCCTGCACAGCCAGAGAAGGATCAGACGGCTTGAAGATGCACAGAACTAAGAGAACACGACTTACCGAAAACCCAGGCAATCGCTTCTGGAAGTACCGAGACCAAAGAGCAGGAAGGGCTTGCCCTAGGTCAGCCAGGGGGAACATGGTTACCCCAGGCAGGGGCAACGGGGATGTAAATGGGGAGGCATACTGGAAATACCCTGTGATTATTCTGGGGCTGGCAAAGGAAAGTATCTTCTGCTTCGAGGCTACAGAATCCAAAGGCTTGTGCAAAGTGGGAGGCAGATAAGGCCACGTGGTACATCCAGGCCAAGAGTGGCTGAGGTGGATAAGGGAAGCCCGAGATCAAATCAACAGCAGAGGTGTTCCTTTCAGGAGATGATGTGTAGTGTTGTGTCTGGGTGTCAGTCAGCGTCTGGCAGGTAGCGAGCAGATGTGTTTCTGGGTCCAGAGGTCTAGGGAGCTGTTAGGGTCAAATTTGGGAACCCTGGAGAGGGTGGGATTGTACCAAGGGTGAGGAGCCGAGGTGATGGCTCCTTGTTGCCTAACCCCGCTACAGTAAATCCCTTTCTGCCGCTTGGATTTCAAGTGTGGCTGCCGAGTTGTGCCCCGTATTTGACCACTAGATTTCATCATATCATTTCTTGTTTCAACAACTATTCACATCCTAAAACACACATGCACGCCCACACACATGACGGAGAGACTCTCTCTGGCACCTCCAGTTGTGTCCAGTGACTGATGCGACAGCAGCTATAAAGGAGAGGATGCCCAACAGGCTCCCCAGGCCCTGGGCGTTGGAGCTCCTCTCTTCATTTGGACAGGGCTGACACCTAAGATGTGAGATCCCAGCCCCCTTTGGAGAAGCAGCAACATGGAGCTGAGCATTGCCAGAGTTAAGGTCAAGCTTAGGAGAACAAAGATGTGTGTGTGTGTGGGGGGGGGGTTCCTAGGCCATGAGGAACAGCTGCTGAGAGACACCAGATCTAAAGCAAACAAGTCACACTAAAATTAACCGTTTCCTCTGTTCTGCACCTATGGGTGCCACCTTGGCTGCCTTCTAGGGATGTAGGAAAAGGGCTGTGAAAAGGCTATGGGACTCCCACATGTTGTTTCCTACCTGAACCCTACCTCCACTGGGGTTCATTAGTGCTTTAAGACGCTGGACCTTTGAACAACTAAAGGGCCATGAATTCACAAAGCAGGCCCTGCCCAAGTACTTTTTCCTCCCCTGGCCTTCAATGGAGGACTATGTCAGTTAGGGGAAAAGAATATTTTGGTGCTCCTGCGTTGTAATTAGGATCTTTACCTTTGAGTATGCTATAGAACATGCTATACCTTTGCCCATTGGCCAGGTAATTCTTGGTGTCACAGTACATAACAGAGCCACAATGTGTTCTGAGGTTAAAGGGATAAATGTGCTCCAGCCCCCCTCCACCCCCGCTGGATAGACTTCCCTAGCTGATATTATGTTGCAGTACATACCCAAGGCCCCTTAGGAGGTGAAAAAAAAACCCCTCATCATACGAAACTGAACAATGTGTAGTTAGAGACGAGGTTGCCTGTTGGAGGGGTTCTGTCTCGTGGTGGAGTAGGGGTCTGGGAACTGGCTAGGCACATAGGGCCTAAGAGATTTTCTTAGGATCCAGGGATTCTTTTTCCACATGGCCCTCCTCCCTCCCCTCCACGTAAAATATGGCCTGGTTGTTCTCAGAAGACCTGTGTGTGGTGTTGGGGAAAGAGAGTTGCTATTTCTCCCTCATGCCTATAGTCATCAGCCCCATCGGAATCAGAGCTGTTTGCTGTGGAAAACTCAATCTTCATTAGCTGAAGTCTATTGCAACACTGACCGAGGAAGCAGCAGCACTGCCCCACAAAGGAGTGTGTACAGCCTTATAGGACTGAGTGAGATGGTAGTTCCCTCCCTCTGCCACCACCCCACCCCCACCCCACCAGCACCACAACTAACAAGCCCCAATTCATCTGAGGCTGGTGTCAGTGTGTTGAAAGTTACATTGTTAAAAGGTCGAAGCAAAAACAGTCCAGCGTACAATGTTTATTTCAGGCCCAGGGACCGAGACACTGGGGAAGTAAGAGCATGTGGCAGCAGAGGGGGCTTGATCGCCATTCACTGGCCTATGTCTGTGGCACTGTGGTCTCAGTTTCCAAGTGACCGGTATCGTCCCCTATGAAGGCAAAGCAGAATGACAACTAGACTCTTGGGAACCCTGGGGAAGTCAGGCCTGGCCCAGGGCCTCTCTGGGTGGAAAGGGAACGGGAGGCACGTAGGCTTGGCTGTGAGCAGTGAGAGAGGCAGAGGCTGGCTCCAAGCTCTCACCTGAAGGACTTGGTGAAAAATGCCAGGGCTCTCTGGAACGAGCTCCTCCAAGACCCCTGGGAACCAGCAGACCCCTTGAGCAAGCCTGTGCCATTGGATGAGTTCTCTGTGGCGTCAGACAAAGAAACAATTTCCTTAGTGACTTTAACCTGGCCCTTCATGTTCTGAAAAAAGAAAGACTAAGTTGTCTTACCCTAACGCCCCTGTCTCCCCTGACACTCATTCTCTTATTCAACAAGTATTATGTGCATGCCCAGCCCCGTTTTAAGTGCTGGGGATACAACAACGACTGCTACGGACCCAGCCCCAGGGCCCTGGGGCTGACATGTCAGGACCACAGAGAGAAATCAGACTCACCAGGTCAGGGGGTGGAAGGAAAGGAGTGAAAGTGCGATGTGCCCGTAGTGACCAAGTCCCGTAGGGACTTCCTTGAAGACACCAGCTAAGCTTCTCACTCTGCTGAGGGCAAAGAGGCTGAGGGTCTCTCCCCTCCACGCCCCTTCAGCTCCTTTGGCCCCGCCCTGTCTTTCCTCCCTCCTACAGCCCAGCGCACACTACTCAAGCAGTGGATACATTTCTGGTGTTGGACATCCTTTCTGCTCCTGTGTACCTTACTCCCACCCCTCCAGCCGCTCTCTTTTCTTCTTGTTCTCCCCTCTCTCCCTTCGATCCTTGTTTCCTTTCCTTTGTTTTTCTTCTTTCCTCTGAACCTCTCAGCAGGCTCAAACCAGGTGTCTGCTTGCTGAATGACAAGAACAACAAAGCAGAGGTGTTCATGCAGATGGTGAGTTGTCATTTGGTGGGGATGCCATAGACGGGAATGGGTCCAAATGGGTTATCAAAGCACGGAGGGTGGGCTGGGTGATGGCATCCACAGTCCAAACCAACACCGGAGTTTCTCCTCTCAGAGGGTTATGTGAGATGCCACGTCTGTGAGACAGTCAGCATCCGGTAGATAGTGGACAGGTGGTTTGGAGCCTGGAGGGCTTGGAAAATGTGAAGGAAAGAGGGCACAGGCCTGTGCTGGGCTAAGGGGAAAGCAGAACAAGTGAGGCAAGAGCTTGTTGTTGCCTATTCCTGCTATATAAAATCCCACCTTTGACTCTTGGGTTTCAAGAGAAACTGTCTAGTTTTGCCCCCTGTTTACCACCCAGAGCTAGGAGGGTCTGTGCCACTGACTTGAAAAGGCAAACAGTATCTGGAAGGGAAAGAGGAAGTAGGTGGCCTCAGAGCCTTTTATTTGGTTTTAAAAATAATAGTGTTGTTTAAGAAAGCATCTTTTACATAACTGTGAAAATACAGGGCTGATCTTCTCTGGGAGCCTATCTTGGGCCGTGGCCGGGGGTTATAGAAATAAATGAGTCTCTGTTGCTGCTTCAAGCCATTCTGTGGGAGAGAAGCAAAAAAGAAACACACACACACACACACACACACACACACACACACACACAACTCAAAAAAAACCCCACAACAATGGATGATTGCAATAGAGAGAGGTGGAAGGAAGGTTACATGGCTATGGGAGATCGGAGGAGGTGCAGCCACCCAGCCTTGGGAGTTGGAATGGAGTCTTGGAGATTTCCCAAAGGAGGCATACCTGAAATGAGTGAAGAAAGAAGTTGGCCAGGAAATAGAGGAAGGGGAGAGTTTTGCAAGCAGAAGCCCAAGACAATAAAGTGAGTTTTTGCAATTGAAAATAAGCAGACCCAGGTTTCTCTTCTAGGGGTTAAGTAGAAGTCAAGGTCAGTCATGAGGTTCCAGCAGGGGAGTAGAAAATGGTGTTGCACGGAGACACTGAACCCTGGGTTTTGAGAAGCAAAAGTTTTTGTTTGTTTTTCTTTCAATTTTAGTAAGGGTCCATCGATTATTGTCCCTTTGTGATTTACAGTATTTTAAATGTACTTTTATTGGGGTGACATTGGGTAATAAGATTACATAGGGTTCAAGTATACATTTTTATGATACATGCTCTGTAGAATTGCATCGTGTGCCCACTACCCCAAGTCAAATCACATACTTTTTTAATGAATTTCCTACCCAAGGCCCCTTTGCCTAACCTCATGACGCAGAACTTTTCTCCTATGTTTCCTTGTAAGATTTTCAATTTTACAATTTACACTTAGAGCTCTGGTTCATTTTGAGTTAACTTTGGCATATAGTATGACGTACTGAAGTGTGTGGTTTCTTTTCCCCTATGGAGATGCTTTTTTTTTTTTTCCAGCACCATGAGGTAACTGTTAATTTAATCATCTTGGCGCCTGTGTCACAAGTCAACTTACCGTATATATGTAGGCTTATTGCTGAGCTTTCTATTTTATCCATTGATCCATATTATGGTCTAATATTATGGCAATACCACAGTGTCATGATGTCCATACCTTTGTTGTAAGTCAGGGGATTTGGTGGTGCAAGTCCTGCATTTTTGTTCTCTTCCAAATGGCTTAGGCTATTCTGTGTCCTTTGCATTTCCACATAAGTTTTAGTAGTAGCTTTTCATTTAAATTATGAATATGTCAAATCTATAGATGATTTACTAGAGAATTGACATCTTAAATATGTTTGAGTCTTCTGGTCCATGAACTTAATATTTATACCTCCATTTATAGAATTCTTCTTTAATTTATCTCAGCAATATTTCAAAGTTATCTATGTACAAGTCCTGCAAGTATAATGTTAAAACTATCAGTAGGTATTTCATTTATTTTACTGCTATTGTATGTGATTTATAAAAAAGTCCATCTCCAAATCTATATTCCCAGTATAGTGAAATTTTAAAAATACCTTTTCTATATCCACTTTCTCTCTTTTGACCTTATTAAACTGCTTATTAGATCTGGGAGGTGCTTTTTTGTATTTTCTGCATAGACTATCATGTCTTTAGAAAATACAGGGTTTTTTTTTTTCTCTTGCCTTATCAGCTAGGACCTCAAGCATAATGTTGACTACACATTGGAAGAGCAGAGATGTTGACATATTCCTAATCTTTAGGGAGAAACATTCTCAGTCTTTTGCCATTAACTATAATGCCAGCAGCCGGTTTTTGGTAGAAGCACTGTATCGTGTTGAAACTGTTCTTAAGTTAGCAGATGTTTTTATCATGAATAGATGTGTTATATTATCAAATGGCTTTTCTGTCATACATTGTGATAATCGTTGTTTTTCTTTTGTTCTCTTAATATGGTAGGATGCACTGATGCATTTTTTAATGTTAAAATAGACTTGCATTCCTAGAATACACTTTGCATGGGCACAGATTATACTTTTTCTGTATCACTGGATTCAATCTTTTAAAAATTTCATTGGGGGCTTTAGACCTATGTTCATCAGGGATATTGGCCTGTAGTGCTCTTTTTCCCTTTGTAGTGTCCTTTTTAAAATTATTTTTATTTTCTATATAAAAGTAATGCTGACTTCATAAAATTCCTGTATTCGCCTCTCGTATTCTCTGAAAAAGTTCTATAGGACTGCTACTATAGTTTTGTTTTAAACGCATGATGTTGTTTACAAGTGAAGCTTGCGAGGACTAAAGTTTTCTTTATGGAAAATTTTTGAATTAAAAATTGAACTTTAAAAATCATATAATACCATTTTTAAACAATCTTTAGAGATGGCCAGCAATTAATTACATGTACTTATTAGAAAATTAGACAATTCTAAGCATGCACTATCACTGGTAAATCCCCCACCTTTTCTCCCAAAGAAAAGCTTGCCTTTGATGCATAGGAAGTATCTTGGCAGTGTAAAGCAATTTTCCTTGGAACTGAAGGGAGCTTCCTTTCTCTCTCTCCCTCTCTCTCTCTCTCTCTCTCTCATTGTGGTAAAATACACATAACAAAAACTTATTTTAACCATGCTAAGTATTAAATGCAATGACATTCACACTGTTGTGAAATCATCCCAGCATCCATGTCCAGAACTTTGTCATCATCCCAACCTGAAACCCTGTACCCATTAAACAATAACTTTTCATGTCTTTCTCCCCTCATACCCTGGCAATCACCATTCTACTTTATGTCTCTATGAATTTGACTACCTTAAGTACCTCAGATAATTATAATTGTCATCTGGTTTCCAGCTCATTCATTTAGCATAATGTCTTCAAGGTTCATCCGTGTTGTGGCATACATCAGAATTTCTTTCTTTTTAAAGCCTGAATAATAGTGCATTGTACCACATTTTATTTATCCTTTCATCCACTGATGGGCACCTGGGTTCCCACTTTCTACATCTTTGAAAATACTTGTTATATTCTGATTTTCTTTTTCTTTTAAAAAATAACAGCCACTTAGATGCATGTGAAGTGATATCTCATTGTGGTTTTGATTTTCATTTAGCCCAATGACTAGTTATGTTGAGTATCTTTTCACGTGCTTAACAGCCATTTGTATACCATCTTTGCAGAAATGGCTACTGAAGCCCTTTGCTGATTTTTGAATTAGGTTGTCTTTTTTTTTAACTTATTTTTGAGTTGTAGGAGTTGTTTGTATATTCTGGATGCTAGTCATTTAAAAGACACATGATCTGCAATTATTTTCTCCCATTCTGTGGGCTGCTTTTCTACTCTCTTAACAGTGTCATTTAATGCCCCAAAGTTTTAAAATGTTGATGAAGCTGAACTTACCTACTTTTTCCTCTCTTTGTTGCATATGCTTTTGATGTCATATCCAAGAAATCATTGCCAAATCCAATGTCCTGAAGCTTTACTCTTCTGCTCTCTTCTGAATTTTATCATTTTAGCACTTAGGTCTTGGTCCTTGATCCACTTTGGGTTAACTTTTGTAACAGTGTATGGGATGTCTCCAACCTCACTCTTTGCCATGGGAATATCAAGCTTTCCCAGCACCACTGGTTGAAAAGACTGTCCTTTCTGCAGTGAAAGGTGTCGGTGGCCTTGTCAAAAGTCATTTGACCACATATGCGAGGATTTATTTTCTGACGTCTCTGTTCTATACCATTGGTCTCTATGCTCGGCTTTATGCCAATAGTACACTCTTTTGATTACTGTGGCTTTGCAGTAGACTTTGAAATCTGAAAGTATGAGTCCTCCAACCCTGTCCTCTTTTTTTTTTCTCCCAAGGTTGTTTTGGCTATTGTGGGTCCCTTGAGATTCCATATACATTTTAGGATTTTAAGAAAAATTTCCACCAAAATTAATGTCATTTGGGAATTTGACGGGCATTGTGCCGAAACTTTAGATCACTCTGGGTAGGACTGCCATGTTAATAATATGAAGTCTTCCAATCCAAGAACACGAGATGTCTTTCCACTAATTTGTGTCTCCTTTAATTTCTTCCAGCAACGTCTTGCTGTTTTCATTGCACAAGTCTTCCATCTCCTTGATTAAGCTTATTCCTAAATACTTTATTCTTTTTGATATAACTGCAATTGTTTCATAATTTTCTTAATGGATTGTTCATTGTTAGTGTACAAAAGTGTAATGATTATTGTCTGTTGATCTGTATCTTATAAGTTTTCTGAAGAGTTCCAACACTTTCAGATTTTGAATCTTTGGCATTTTCTCTGTGTAAGGGAATGTCACCTGTAAACAGGTATAATTTTGCTTCTTTCTTTGCAATTTGGATGCCTTCTTCCCACCGCCCCCCTTACCAAAGTGCTCTGGTTAAGGCTTCTAGTATAATGCTGAATAGAAATGGTAAAAGTAGTCACCCTTCTCTTAATCCTGATCATTGAGGAAAAGTTTTCAGCATTTCACCATTGAGTGTGATGTCTGTATATGGCTTTAATTATGTTGAGGAAGCTTCTTTCCATTCTTTCTTTGTTGACGGTTTTTTTAGCATGAGCGGCTGTAAATTTTCTCAAATTCTTTTTCCCCATCAACTGAGATGCTGTGGCCTTCTTCCCCTTCATTTGTTAATGTGGTGTGTCACAGTGAGGAAAGACACAGAAGAGGACACAAACAAATGGGAGCATATACCGTGTTCATGGATTGGAAGAATTACCATCATCGAAATGTCCATACTGCCGGAAGCAATCTATAGATTCAATGCAATTGCTGTTAAAATAGCAAGGGCACACTTCACAGATCTAGAGCAAATATTCCAAAAATTTGTATGGAACCCAAAATGACCCCGAATAGCCTCAGCAATCTTGAGGAAGAAGAACAAAGTTGGAGGGACCACAATACCTGATATCAAACTAAATTATACGGCCACTGTAATCAAAACAGCCTGGTACTGGCACAAGGAAAAGCATATAGATTAGCGGAACAGAACGGAGAACCCAGAAATCAGCCCACACCTTTATGATCCATTAATATTTGGCAGAGGAGGCAAAAGAATACGATGGAGTAAAAGCAGTCTCTTCAATAAATGGTGTTGGGAAAATTGGACTGGTACATGCAAAAACTGAAACCAGACGACCAACATTGTGCACTTGAAAACCAAACAAGTCGAGGAGAATGGATAGCTCATATTTTAGAGTTATGCATTGAAATATTCACCATCATAACATAAGATGATTTTTGGAAAATCCGGAGGAAAGGGCAACAAGAAAATGCATATGAAATGAGACTGGCTATGAGTTGTTCATGCTTGCGTTTGGGCACTTGATAATTGGAGGCTCCTTCACTATTCTCTCTTGTACAGTGGTTCTCAAAATGAGGTCTTCCACCACCAGCACCTGCATCACCAGGGAACCTGTCAGAAAAGCAAACTCTGGGTCCCACCCCAGATTTTAAAATCTGAGACTTAAAGATGTGGAGGTGAGCAATCTGTCTTTATTTAAAAAATATATTTTATTTATTTATCTTTAGAGTGGAAGGGAAGGAGAGGGGGAGAGAAATACCAATGTATGCTTGTCTCTCATGCATCCCCTGCCAGGAACTGGCCTGCAATCCAGGCATGTGCCCTGACTGGGAATCGAACCTTGGTTGTTTGGTTCACAGGCCCATGCTCAATCCACTGAGCTATACCAGCCAGGGCAGCAATCTGTCTTTCAAAAGCCCTTTGGGTGACTCTGATGCAAGCTAGTATTCCAGGAACACTGCTTTACTGAAGTGAACCTGGATATTGTTTGTAATTTTGTGTACAAAATCTACTTGTATATGTTTGATAATATCCAGAGTAAAATTAAACAAGGAAGGAAGGTGGGAAGGAAGGGAAAGAAAGAAAGAGAGAAACTGAGTTGAGCACGGTGGCTCACTTCAAAATCAACTCACTTTTCAAAGACTCCAAAGGCTTTCTGTAAAATAGATACAAGTAGAAAGATGTCATTTAAAACAGGTATCACGTGCAAGAGCAACAGCACGGAGCAGTCTCTTAGGATAAATACAGTAAAAGATGTGCAAGGTATGAATGTGCAAAAGCTAAAACTAAATACTATACTGGAAGATTAAAAGGTTAAAGAAGGCCCACATAACCGGAGAGACAGCCCACGCTGATGACTGGGAAGGCCGGATATCGAAAAGATACTCAGTTCCCCCTGAACCGCGCCATAAATTCATTGAAAATAGACTCCAAATCTGTTACAAATGAGTTTCCAGGGAACATGGCATGCTGACCCTAACGTTTATGTGGAAGGGCAAAGTGCGAAGAATAGTGAAGATATGCCTGCAGACTGATGATGCCTAAGAGGTGGGGACCTGCCCTACCAGAGATCTAGATGTCTTACCGCGAGATAAAAATTCAGACAGGGTGGCAATGACACCGGAAATACAGAAAGGTATGCAACAGGACCTATGCTCAGAAACGGAGACACACAAATACGGACCAAAACGACTCCAGACAGCGCCGAGTGCCCCCCGGGGGTGCAAAATCACCCCCGGCTAGGAATCCCTGGCATAGGAATACCGATCGATCTGAAAGAACACATGCTGAATTCTGTAGAAGTAAATGACAGAATATCAAGCGCACGAGTTAAAAATGCACGCACATGCAATATTTCACATCCAAAGAGAGAATGGTCTGGGAAACAAGGCTTGGGAAGCACAAAGCTCCACTTCACTTCAAGCAGTTACTGGCCAACCTAGTACAGACAGGCTGAAGAGAGTTAGGAGCGCCGCGAAGGGGTGGGACTTTGGTGGGTGAGCTTTAGGGAACTCAAAGCTCATAGGTCGCCGACCAAAGCGAACTGTGGGAAGGCAGCGCTGGAAGCTCATTGGCCTTTGTGGCAAGGGCGGGAAAGCGAGCGAGCTAGCAAGACAGCGCCTGCGTCTTCCCCTCAAGATTCTCGTCCCAGTCCATTGCACGACCTGCTGGAGGCTGACCACAGGCTAGTATCGGGAAGAGGGCCCCTGGTTCTCTACGCCACTTCTTTCCTCCCTCCCGCCTGCTCTGGATCTCCAAACCCTCCCACCTCCGCAGGGTGCCTCCACCCACTCCTGATATGTCCACGCTGCCCCACACCCCCACGCACACACTCTGCAGGACTCCTGTGGGAGGACCCATTGCCCCAGCCTCCTGACCCCTGCCTGGCCTTTGGCCCCTGGGCCAGGCTGCCTTTGATTCGGAGGTGAAAGCGGCAGCAGCGGCGGCGAAATATTGGGCTGCCTGTGAGGGGGTGGTGCACTCTGGGTCTGTGTGTGGGGGTGGGGCAAAGGTGTGCTCCAGCATAATTTTGGAAGCGTGGAGAGGAGCATGGAAGAGTGTTGGGAGGCTGCGGCGGGAACGCCAGGTTTTGCATGAAAGCGGCGAGGGGTGTGTTGGTGCAAGAGAACAATTAGTGCGGTGAGGAGTTGGCTGCTGACTAGATCAGGGCCTGCCATTCCGTACCGGGCTCAGCAAACTTCTGTTCAATGAATAACCGAGGGGATGAACGAAAATAATTACTGAAGGAGGGGCTTGCGATCCTGAAGGATAATGCGCTCTGGTGGAGGGCAAAGGTCCGCCATCTTAAAGGAGCAGCAAGGAAATACCTAAGATTATGGTGGGCTGCACGAAAAAGATCAGAATGGAGTGCGATAAAAAAGAGTGAATGTAGGGCATACATGAGACTAGAAATAGACCTGAGCGCCTGAGGCATGGATTCATGAGTGGGAAGTGAATGGATGCAGAAGATTGGGGAGGCAATTGTGGAAGTGGCTGCCAGGAATAATAGTAGTTGAGTATAGCAGAGTACAGGGCGGGACACGAGAAGGGCAAGTAGTAATTGTTGAAGCCGGCACGAGAGTGCATGTGTATACCTGAAAGCGGGATCTATGTGGAGTCAAAGTAGGCAAGGAGAATCATAATCGGGTTGAGAGTATACAGGACCCAAGTCCAGAGTGCCTCGGAACAAGGCTATGCACGCATGAGCCTTCCTGGGAAGGAGGCTACATGAGCAGGAAGGGAGGGTGCAATGTGATTTCAGCGGTGAGCTGGATGAAAATGAATCCAGGCCCTTCAGGCGGGGTTTGCCAGGTCAGAGGAAGTATGTTTGGGGGTAAGGGACCATGTGGCCATCCTGACCCCTGCTTCTGGGCCCACAACCAAGGATTCCAACGAAATGCCTGCCGGGCCCCGCTGCACCTGCATCCGCACCACTAGGCTTCGGACCAGAGTCCCATGGGCGATTCGACTCGGCCTCAGAAGATCTCCACGTCTTCACTCTGCCTGCTGCCACAACCACAGCATCACTAACCAAGTCGAGGACCATGAGCACTGCTGCCTCTTGAAGACACGCCACCTCGCTTCGTGAGTACTGTGTCTGACAGGGGGGGAAGGGAGGGGCTGGCCTCCTCTAAACCTGACTGAGTTTAGGCGTGTAATCTCCCACTTTAGGAAGCAGCGCAGGCTCTTGCCTGCCAGGAGTTCCTTGAAGAGGAAGCAGGGGGCACACCGAAAGGGGAGCCTGACTGGAGGACTGATAAAGAGTGGAGCCGCACCTCCCAAAGACCACAGCTTTGTCAACAAGTTGGCCACTCAAGAAGGAGTTCTCAGTGAGCGTCTCTGACCAAGGGGGGGGCTGGGTTTGGGTATAGGGAACATGAGTACTTCTGTCACCAGTCTTACCACCCAACTCCGATGTGGCCTTGGGAAAGTTATCCCTTGGGCCTTAGCTTCCCCAGGTATAAAATGTCGTCAGTATTATCTACGGAGTGTTGGTGGGAAGGAGAAATTGTGGGGAGGGGAGTGGAAATGGTCCACGGCGAGATGAGACCTCAGGTTGGGAGCGAGGTAGCGTGAGGTGAGACGAGGCAGAAAGGACCTCCTAAGCTGTTTCCAGTTTCCCATAGCAGGGAAAGAGAATGCCATGTCCCAGCTTAAGGCCCACACCCGTGCAACCCCCAGGGAGGTAAGGAGAGTCTGGGGCCAGTCGGGGAGGCTCCCAACTCAGCCACTGCCCAGACCCTTTCCTCTCTTCTGAACTTCTGTGTTCCATCTCTAACCCTACTGCAACTTGCCATGTGACCCTGGGGGTAAACCACTTCTCTCTCTGGGCCCTGGTTTCCCCAGCTGCAAAATGAACAGCTGGTCTTCAAAGTCTTCCGAGCTCCGACACTCTGGGCTCCTATCCTCAGCCCCAAACGTGCCCACGTCTCCTCTCCATGGCTTGTCTCCTACCCCAGTCTAACCTGTGCTCTCTCCTCCTGCAGCCAGTCTCCCAAGGGGCTCTGCTGACGGAGTATTCCCCAAATTGTTTGTCTCTGTCCTGGACTCCAGCTCCCTTGAAGACGCAACCAACAATTTCTCCTTCCAGGAGTTCCCACAGGACCCATGTCCTGATCAGCACGTGAGTAGACTGAGAAGAAGCATGCAGCCGGTTGTGTATTGTGTGTTATTGGGTGGCCATCCTTGTGCTTGATGCCATGGGAGATAGGGAGAGAGGAAGTGAAGGTGGTGGTCATGGTCGTGGTCGTGCTGGTAATGGTGGTGGTGGTGGTGGAAGAAGAGGAGGAGGAGGAAGGGGAGGAAGGGGAGAAGGCGGCATCTCGGACTAACAGGCAAGGACAGGGCTCTTCCAGCTTTGCCACTTCTCACTTGTGGGAGACTTCGGACAACCGTGTTTATGTCCCAGAGTCTCCATTTGTGAGTCAGTGTACTGAGAGGGGACAAGATTCTGCACCCACAGCATTGACGAGAGGACTAGTATAACACCTGCCACATAGCTGGCCTTTAACAAATGGAGGCTTTTATTCCGTATGAAACAGATTGATGTTTCATACGGATAGAAGGTCCCGCTGTAAAGGGGGACCATGAGGGTGAGGGCCACCGGGGCTCAGGCGAAAGAGTCCCGAGGCCATTAGAGAAAGCTTTGTGGAGATGAGCCACGCTGTTCCTTGAGGCCCCGTGAGGTTTGGAGACTGTGGGGGCAAGAACCAGTCTCTACACAGGGACAGTAACCCCATCTCTCCAGGTGCTTTGCAGATTAAAACCCAGACACCTGTGATTTCCCATAATCTTCCCCGTGGCCCTGGGAATTCTGAAAACGCTGGCAGGGATTCATGTCTCAGGAAAGGTGTGGAGAAAAGAGATGGAAACGGAAACAGGCCAGGCAGGGGAAAGGACTTGCCCAAGCGACAAGGAGGAATGGTCAGCAGGCCTTCGGACTCCCACACTCAGATATTGCAAAATCCTGCCTCTCTCTGTCTACTGGTAGTGTGTGTCTTACAGAGGGTTTAACCTCCCCCCCCCCCCCCGCCTCTCCTTTCCTTGTTTCTAAGACGCTTAACCCTGGTCCTCCAGCCCTATGCCACCCTTGACTCTCCTCTCTTGCAGCCACGGATCCTGGGAAAATAGTTGGGTCCAGAGAGCTGACAGGGCCCAAGCTTAGTGAATGGGAAGAGCAGGACACCTCGGGTTGGGTGGAGCCTTCAGTGGAACTGGGGACTGAGGGGCACTTGTCGCACAAGGCGGGGAGGTGTGGGTTCCCAACTCCCATTCTCTCACACCCTTCTCTTCTCAGGTTCCCACCGCTTCTGACCAGCCCTTGGTCTCTGCCTCCTCAGAGTGGCAGCGGAAGCTGGAGGCGGCCGAGGCACTGCTGATTCTGAAGGAATCTTCCCAGGCCCCTTCAGGCTCCATCTCCCTGCTCCAGCCTTGAGCTGCACCAGGTAGCTTGGTCCTTGAAAGGCGAACACTGGGTGGGAATAGTTGGGAAAGCGGGCGGCGCTGTGGTAAGCGGGGCCTAACTAACGCCAAAGGCAGGGTTGGTGAGTTGAACCTCCCTGGGCCCAGGCACCCAAGCTCCTCAGTCTCACGCCTGAGATGGCAGTCGATGGCTGTCCAGTGAATCACCAGTTTGTCGAGCTTTGCGCTCAGCAGCAAATGTCCAGTGCCCCGATGTCAAGAAGTGAGGAAACTGGGGCCCCGAGAGTGGCAGGCGCTTGCCCTGGGGCGTGTAGCAAGCATAGCAATCCGAGGAACCGGGCCTCCTGACTCTCAGCCCAGAGTTTTTCTACCCAGACCCTTGTCTTCTGCTGTGGTCTGGGCAGGGCATTTATTTAGATAGGTGAACATGTGCCGAGTCTGGAAGGGGCTTCTGCTCCGTGTCCTTGGGGAGCTTCCAGTGCAGATGTGGATCCTGGGTGCCGTCACGGGTCGTGTTTTGCAGCTAAACCTCAATGATGAGCCTGGGGAGGAAGGACTGGAGGAGGTCTGAGGACAGATAGACACCTGGGGAGGCTGAGAGCGAAGGCTGGGCACTCCCGGGCCAAAATGGTGGATGGGGTATATAGTGTGTGAGTGAAGCAGCAACGCTGGAGGAACTTACTGGAACAGAAGGGGGTGAGGCTGGAGAGGCTGCCAGTCACAGAGGTCTGGCTTGCCAGGCTCAGGAGGCCAGACCAGCAACCGTGGGTGTTGAGGAGCCAGGGAATATGTGAGCTAGGGAGGAGCATATTCAAAGACCTGGGGCTTGGCAAAAAGAATTGTGGTGGCTGTGGTGGAGGGACCTCTGGCGGCAAGACTTGAGGTGGGCAAACCAAGGGAGAAAGAGTTCTGTGCCGTTATCCAGGTGGCAAAGCCAAAAAAGACGGGTGAGCCGGGAAGGGAAATGCATGCCAGCCGGCACTGACCTCTTCCTTTCTGTCTACAGCTCCTGCTGGGGATAGAGGGCTCCAGCCCTCCAGCGCCCCTCTCCAACCCAGGCCAGCCAGCTCTGTTTCTCTGCCTGTTGGACACCTGGGGCGCATCTCCCTCTTGAGCTAGAAGCCCAAAGGAGGAGGCTTCTCTAGAGTAGTGCCTGTGTATGCATTTGCAAAATGTTTAGTGTTCAAAGTGCTTAAAGTTAAAAAACATAAAGGCCGCCCCTGGCTGGTGTAGCTCAGTGGATTGAGCACGGGCCTGCGAACCAGACAGTCGTGGTTCGATTCCCAGTCAGGGCACATGCCTGGGTTGCAGGCTGGTTCCCTGCAGGCCAGTTCCCAGCAGGGGATGCATGAAAGGCAACCGTACATTGATGTTTCTCTCCCTCTCTCTGTCCCTTCCCCTCTAAAGATAAATAAATAAAATCTTTTAAAAAAAAACATAAAGGCCTTCAGGTCCTTCTGTCAGCTTTCAGGTCCTTATTATATGGGGCAATTCCTTGACTGAGGACAGATATTCTTGTACCTCCATCCCTCACGCCCTTGGATCCTGGGGCCTTTTTATGTCGTGTGAAAACCTGCTTGCGCAATCTAAGCTGATCGATCGGTCTCGAAATCGAGTTCAGTGTGTTCATGTGCTCCTATGCCAGATTTTGTATTTCGCTCATGATTGTGAAAATACCAGTGCACTCATGGTTGTACCCGTGCATGTGAAAGCATGATGATTTTTTTTCATTTTTGCTTCTAGGTTTGTGTGTGTGTGTGTGTGAACAAGTTATAAACTGTTGTTGTTGTAAGGCACTGCGATAGAGGAGCTGTTTGTTACCACAGACTTGTTACCTAGACTATCCTGACTCTAGCAGACTTGTTCAATTCAACTTCCAAAGGTAAAATCGCCATACTCAATGACTGGGATTTCTTAATGTGGCTGGATAAGAAAATGATAGAGGAAAAAAAGGATAGGAGATGTATTCACTCAGCAAGTAAGTGCCTACCCACTGCCTGGCATAGACTGTCTCCAGTTGTCCAGGGGGCCACAGGTTGAAATGTCTGGAGGATCAAGCAGATCATACAGATGAGAGCAGCCCAGGTGGGCTCTGGCCACCTGACAGTGCATGCTCTACCTAAGAGTGCAGCTGCCATTTGGCTCTAAGCAAATGTTGCCAGGCAGGAATGTGGGCTCATTGTTGCCACATCTCCTGGTTTTTAAAGAGAAGATGGGTTTCTAGATTTCTGTGTAAAATCTCAATTTTAAAATGTCTCCTATGATTTCCTCTTCTTTTAAACAAATAAGTGTTTTTATTGTTGCTCAGACAGAGTTGTCTCGATTTTCCCCTCACCACGCACCCCCCCACCCGACCCCTCCCACCCTCGAAACTATCCCCTGTTGTCTTTGTCCACATGTCCTTTATACTTACTTGTTCCTTGCCGGCCCTTCCCCTATTTTCCCCCATTATCCCTTCCCCCCTCCCCTCTGGCTGCTGTCCGTTCGTTCTTTATTTCAGTGTCTCTGGTCATAGTTTGCTTGCTTGTTTGTTTTGATGACTAGGTTCCAATTATAGGTGAGATCATACGGTATTTGTCTCTCACCCCCTGGCTTATTTCACTTAGCATAATGCTCTCCAGTTCCACCCATGCTGTTGTGAAGGGTACGAGTTCCTTCTTCCTTTCTGCTGCATACTGTTCCATTGTGTCAATGTACCATAGTTTTTTATTCACTCAAGCAACCTGGTAGTCACCTAGGTTGCTTCCAGCACTTGGCTATTGTAAACTGTGCTGCTATGAACATTGGGATGCATAGGTCCTTTTGGATTGGTGTTTCAGGATTCTTAGGGTATAATCCCAGTAGTGGAATTGCTGGGTTAAAAGGCAGTTCCATTTTTAATTTTCTGAGGAAATTCCATAGTGTGTTCCACAGTGGCTGCACCAGTCTGCATTCCCACCAACAGTGCTCTAGGGTTCCCTTTTCCCCACAGCCTGGCCAGCACTTGTTGTTTGTTGATTTGTTTATGATGGCCATTCTGACCAGTGTGGAGTGGTATCTCACTGTGGTTTTAATTTGCATCTCTCTGATGGCTAGTGAGAGATGGTCGGAGGTGGGGGTGGATGGAGGTGGGAATGTGGTGGTGGGAAAAGGGAGACAATTGGATTTGAACAAGAATTTAAAAATGATAAAGAAAAAATAAAAAGAGAACTAAATCAAATAGACGTTGCTTTTGGATCCAAAATGCATTGCAAACAATGATATCAGCCCTGGCTGGTGTGGCTCAGTGGATTGAGTACCAGCCTATGAACCAAAGGGTTGCTGGTTTGATTCCCAGTCAGGGCACGTGCCTGTATTGTGGGCCAGGTCTCCAGTGGGGGGCACACGAGAGGCACGCATTGATGTTTCTCTTTCTCTCTTTCTACCCCCACCTTCTCTAAAGATAAATAAATAAAATCTTTAAAAAACAAACCTATGCACCCTAATGTTCATAGCAACACAATTTATGATTTTCTCTTAAAGCCCTACACGTGGGTCAAACAAAACATCCATGCAGGCTTTCTTTGGCCAATCAGATGCCAGTTTGATTCTAGTCCAGTGTGTATTTTGCAGTGGGGGAAACTGAAGCCAGTCAGGACAAGAAGGATCAAAGGAGGGGAGACGAATTAGACCCAGAGCCTACCTTTGATGGACCCACGAAATATGAGGAAGAATCCTTATCATTTATTTATCCTGTGCCCACATAGGCAGCTAAGTACATGGAGTGCATTGAGTGAAAGGTCCAAAACTTGAGATGGCTGACATTCAGTGAAAAGATGTTTCAGAAATAGTCCCTTTAACACTTCTCTAAAGAGGACATACAGAATATCCAGAGACACATGAAGAGATGCTCAATATCGTTAGCTATCAGAGAGATGCAAATTAAAACCACAATGAGATACCACTTTACACCAGTCAGGATGGCTATAATAGACAAAGCAACAAACAACAAATGTTGGAGAGGGTGTGGGGAAAAGGGGTCCTTAGTTCACTGTTGGTGGGATTGCAGACTGGTACAACCATTATGGAAAACAGTATGGAATTTTCTCAGAAAAATAAAAATCGACCTGCCTTTTGACCCAGCAATTCCACTGCTAGGATTATACCCCAAGAATCCTAAAACATCAATTTCAAAGAACCTATGCACCACAATGTTCATAGCAGCACAATTTACAATAGCCAAGAGTTGGAAGCAACCTAGGTGCCCATCAGTAAACGAATGGATCAAAAAATTGTGGTACATATACACAATGGAATTCTATGCAGCAGAGAGAAAGAAGGAGCTACTACCTTTTGCAACAACATGGATGGAACTGGAAAGCATTATGCTGAGTGAAATAGGCCAGGCATTGAAGGACAAATACCATATGATCTCACGTTTGACAGGAAGCTAAAGAATAAAACAAACAAGCAAACAGAATAAAAACTAAGACACTGAAATAGAGAACAAGTGGGCAGCGACCAGAGGGGAGAGGGAAGGGAACTTAAGGGGAAAAAGGGGGAGGGATTTTGAGGAACAAGTATGAAAGACACAGAGATGAGGACTGGGGGGGGGGGGGAATGGGAGAGAGGGGGGAGACTGGGCGGGGGGGCAGATGGGATGGGAGAAATAGATTTAAAAAATGTACTTGAAAAGTAACTAAATAAAATTTAATATTAAAAAAATAAAATAAACAGATGATTCATATTAAAAAAAAAGAAATAGTCCCTTTAGTTTGTACACAAGGTACCAATGCGCAATAATCAATCAGCTATTACCTGGACGTGTTTCCCAGTCTTCTGCTGATATTCCAAGCAAGCAAAGAACTGGAGATGAACTTATGTCCATCATTTGCGCCAGTACCTCCCCACATTCTTTCACACTTGTCCTGCAGGTCTGTGATGACTTCTCACCACAAGGACTCCCTCTGTCTTTTTTCCAAAAGAAAAAGACACACATTTACCCAATGTCTGCTAGGTGTTTCTCACAACACACTGAACTCTTACTGTTCATTCGTTAACTTCCATGATATTCTCCAGTCCCCTTTGCCTACTTTCATCCTTTGGGTATAATCTGTGTGTCTCATTATGAGGACAGAAAGTTCAGTTATACATGCATGGTCACTGTCTCTTTCACATCATGTTTCCTCCCTCCTTCCCTCCTCCATTGTTTTTTACCCAAGATGATTGATGATGGTTACAATGATTTTAACTCATCCTTTCTTTCCTGAGGTCTTCAGAAGGTCGATTTCTTAGATTTCTTATCTAATGCCAGATAAAGAAGCATACACTGTCACTCAGCTCATACAGCAAGACTGATGTCTACCTCATGCCTTCCTCCTTTTCCTGTTTGTTACTTAAATCAGTGATACCTAAATTCTCCCTCTCCCAGTATCTCATGAACAAGTTCACATATTCATCCAGGAAGGAAGCAGTGTTGCCTGGAAAATGACACACCTTGCTATGCAATTGTGTTGCAAGCATGCCACAGTCCACAGTTGAGTTGGTAAAGTGAAAGTATGTTTTGAGTTAAAATATGCAGCATGAGAAGAGCAAGGAAATGAGAAATAAAGTGATGGGGATTGGGAGAAACATGAGCCTCTCTTCCCTTTACCCTTTCATTTTTCTACATCCCACCTGCCCTTTCATGCAGGGCTTTTTGGACCTGATACTGCTGTCCTGCTCCCACATGTACTATATGAGGTCTGTCCAGAAGGTATCCAGGTATGTAATACGAAAAATAGAGGCATTTATTGAAGAAGATACAAGAAACATTGTACATGGGACAATGACACTTCAGTCATCTTCAAAGTAGGCATCTTGGGACTTCACACAGTCCTCCCAGTCACCAGTAGGTTCCCCATCATATTTTCCTGAACCTCATCGACAGTCTGAAATCTCTTCCCCTTTCAAAAGTGATTTTAGTTTTGGGAAAATTCAGAAGTCACAGGGTGCTAAATCTGGGTTGTAGTGGGGCTGAGTCACCTGGGTGATTTGATGTTTCACCAACACACCCTGTAGAGGGGCTTGTCATGATGAAGCTGCCAATCACCAACTGCCCATAGTTGTGGTCTTCTCAATCATTTGAATACATTCTGCAGAGAAATGTTTAAGCTTAATGCAAAATTTGACAGAGGTTTTTTCCTCTACTCACTCAGTCATTTTGAATGCAATGACCACACAGTGCAC